CATAACAGTAACGCTACCCACATCACTCCCGTGATGAAGGCTCTGCTGAAATTACAAATCTGTCCAGGCTGGGTCCAGACGAGAAATGAGTGGTCTTAATCTGTTCTTTATTCTATCAAGAAGTCACAGATGAGACGGGGGGAGGGGGAGGGGGAGGGGGGGAGGGGGAGTTACGAAGTAATCCAAGAAAGTAGAGCATACTCAAGGTGTGAGCCTATTTATGTCTCAGAAAATCTTGCAGCCTCAACTGTCGAACACATGCGAGATACGTCGCAGTGCGGTAAGCTTCATGGCCGCCTTGCTGGCAAGAATTACAACGTGGTTTTTTCATGATCAGTTTGAAGTCAAATTTCACCCAAAAGATATCAGCTTCGTCCCCGGGTACCATCACTTTCCAATTCATTCTTACCACTGCTCCAATATTACAATCACGGTACCTAGAGACAATCATAATTTTCCACAGGCTGATGTAGTTGTAAGCTGATGATTGATGTAACTTAGAGCAGCTGGCATTTCCTCTCTTGGATAAGTAAATGTCAGAGTACAGTCGTTTGTATATGTATGGGAGTCTGGGATAAGTTGAAGGTCATTGAAATTGACATTCCATAACGATGACCCAAGCACACTTTCTTGTGATCTTAGAAATCTATCCTGAAGGTAATCACTGAGGAAGCTTAGTGCAGAGGCGGTGACTCCTAGTACTTGCAGTTTTGCCTAGAGGCCCTGGTGCCATACTAGGTCGAAAGCACAAGCAATGTTCAGTGTTATTACACAGCTAATCTTGGTTTTACAGCAGATCAGCAGCAAAGTGATCTTTTCTGAAGTTATATTGAAGGTCACAAAGAAGCAAATGATTGTCGAAATACGCCGTCATCTGCCTCAAGATTACTGTCTCATGAATTTTGCCAGTGATTGACAGGAGTGACACTGGTCTGTAGTTTCTGATTTCGGCTCTGCTCTTCTTTTTGTGATCAGAGACTACATTTGCCTCTTTCCAGAGAGAAAGCTATTTACACTGTGCTAGGGAGTACTGATAGATGCAAGTTAGAGGTGACGCAAGCTGACCTGCACATATACTTAGCAATCTTGGGTTCGGCTTATCTGTGCTCATATTCATTTCTTGTTCCAGGGATTTAAGAAAATGCATTTCATCCTGCCTCACTGTCACCACTAGCAACACTGACACAGTTCTTGCGGCTAGCCAAAGAGGGTCCTTTGCTAGATCATTAATTTGTATGTAGGCAGCAAAGTGTTCGGCAAAGTGATCAGCTTTCTCATGACTGCTTGTAAGAGATGGTCTCCTCCTGCCGATTTAGAGGCTGAATAATATCATTAGGTGAATAACCTTGTAAGTCCTTGACCAAGGACGACCAGGTTTTGGAGCCCACTCTGCCTGATGCCGGCTTTCTTTTTGTGTCAACTTCCCATCTAGAGACTGCTCACTTTTGGATTTCTTCCATTTACCAACAGGCTTGCCTGTGCACGTTCCTGTTTTAGATACCTGTATGCCTCCTACAACTTCTGCATGCATTGTACTTAGCAGTGACTGCTTCTCGACAACGAAAGCCGAACCATAGCCGATCTGAAAGCTTTGTCACATACTGCAAGTGAGGGATGTGTTTCTGTTTGAGATTAAGAATTTGTTCAGTAAAAGCATTCACTTGGCTGTCGACATTACCTTGGAGAAGAGCATGCCAATCGGAGGCTCGAGCTCAGAGCAAAGTTCTGGCCAATTTCCCCACAGCCAGGTTGTACGTGTATATTCTTCACCTCATTCTGTTGGAATCCTCAGTGTCGTAAAGACAGCCTTGTGGTTAGATGATCCAACATAGCCAAGGCGTTGACAAGTAACTATACCTTCAGATAGGTCACTCACTACTGGGTCGAGGGAGGAGCCAGAGATGTGAGCTGGGAAGTCAACGAAGTTTTCCATGTTACACTTTGCAAGAAGTTCATCAAAATACCTCTATATAAGATGTTGGTTGAGTCACCGACAATTATAATATGCTGACATTTATGTTGAAGCAGAAGGAGTTCACTTATTCCATTAGGAAGTTGATGGGGGTCTTCATGTTGCCACTGAGGTAACGTATAACGAGCTGCCACTGAGATTCCAAGAAATAACCTTGTGAGATTATCACTGTTTAACTACCTTTATCATGTGTGATTATCACTATTTAATTACTTTTATCATGTGTGATTATCACTTTTTAGTTACCTTTATCAATCACCCGTTCGAATGTCTTTAAGACGATGAAATGATGTCAGTGATTAAACGACGGGGTTGTGTTCCAACGAAAACTGGAGTGGGAGCCCATCTCTCCTTACTGAACCTTCCAACCATGCTGATCAACTGTGCTCTACAGTGTTTGCTTTATCTTTCAGTAAGTTAGACACTGTGTGTGGCGACCTGCAGCAGCTGGGTCTGATGACGTACATATTAACATGTTGCAACACCTACGCTCCACTGCGTTTTTCTTACTCTTACTACTTTTCAGAAACATAGTCTGCAGATTTTTTTTTTTTGTTAATCCGAAACTGCAATGTTGATATTTTCTTCTTCCTGATATCTATTAATTGGTTTAACTCAATTCTTCCCACAAGTATCTGGATATATTTACATGAAAATGCAGTTTACCATCGCTTGTGTAACCTCGCACTGTCGACTTGTAACTACTACTCTACAAGACACTACACAGTGCACAGCCAACTGGTCCACTTAACATGTATGCAAGTTTTCACTTGCTTTACGCCGATGAGGGCCTCTTGATCCACCAATTGTATCTGTCCTTCCTTTCCTTGGATTGACTTCCGAAGTGCTGAATAACCTGTAAGAGTTTACTGCGCCCCCATAATTGTAATAACTTGTAACAATATTATCACTAAAAAATCTTAATAACCTTCACAAGACTCCGTATCATCTAACAGACTATTTTCTGTATGTGTGGTTCCCCTGTACTAATATCTACTATGGTTAATTTTCTAGGCAGTCTCTTGGATTATATAATATCATGGGGGTCTCACATCATCTCTATAAATACAAATTACTCAGCTGGAACCTACTTACAACATCAACCTATTTTTCTGAGGAAAATGTTTGGTAAATACTTCTCAGATTTTTAATTCAATCAAAGTTAAGCTACAGAAACCAATTATATACCTAAATCTCCTCAGCTGCGACAAGGAAACTCAATACCATTCATTATAAAGGATTAAAACTATCTAGGAGCTTCTTAGTCTTCACTAGTCAGTGAATGCCAATAATTCCAATTCCTCAACTAGAGTAGTGTAAGCAGCTGTATTTCCATGAAGACTAATCCAAGTTCATTAAATAGTCAATCAGCATTTTCTCAGCAGATTTATATGTCATGAATCTTGCAACCATAACTACGAAGAAGTCATTATCTTGCTGACTTCCTAGACACACTGATTTCCACAGTAAGAGACACGTAGACTCAGCTATGAACTGCTACTCTATTTCAGGAGAATCCATTTTTCAGACTGTTTTCCAGGACTGCTCCAGAGACTCTGAAACAGCATACAACACCGTTCTTCCGAGTTAGAGGACAAGAAATTATATCCCATCATTCGGCAGTTTGGCTCTTGGCCATTTTCTACCAGTCAGTGTCTGGTGTGGGATATTGATCACATGTTTAAGACTCAGTCATACTTGATTAATACACGAATACCACATGAAAAGATCAACATAATAATAATGTTATACAATACCGATAAGTAGACTAGTAAGGTACCTTTATTTCGAAATGTTTCGTCCACACAGGAATATGGAGACAGCAGAAACAATAAAGAGGTAAAGATTATATGATCAGTCTAACAGCCTTGAAGAGGTAGTTTGAGGTGGTCAGTCCTTCAGCCTGTAGATGTGTTCACCTTCATAGTCCTGAACACTGTGAAGCTGAAGCATGAGAATGGAGACATTTATAGTGCCAGAGGTGAGGTGCGGAGAATAGACATGACATCAGAGAATATTAACATAAGAACGTGGAAAACTGCAACAAACTTAGTGGTCCATGCTAGGCAGGTCCTCAAATACAACTCTGCTCACTCATAACTAGTGTTGAGCAATGAAGTTACAGAGGACAGAAGGCATCTTCTGCAACTTCATTGCCGAACCACGAGTTAAAGAACTGTATTTGAGAACTTGCCTAGCATGGACCAGTTGTCTTGCTGTCATGTTCCTTTATGTCATTTTTATTTTCCGCGCCTCACCTCTGGTATTGTAAGTCTCCTTTCTCGTGCTTCAGCTTCACATTGTTCAAAACTATGAAACTGAACACTTCTCCAGGCTGAGGGACTGACCATCTCAAACTACATCTTCAAGGTTGTTGGACTGATCGCATCATTCTTACCTCTAGACTTTTCTGCTGTTTTCATATTCGCTAATTCTGAAATTTTCTAATGAAGCCGATCACGTAGGTCAAACATTTCATATGACAACGTATCGCCCACACAATGTGTTTCATCAAGTAGATCTGTGTGTGACTTCATAAAGACAATTACTTGGGCGAAACGTTGTCAGTAAAGGATCGCATTATAATACATTCTTGTCTTTATCCTTCACTAACCTCTACACTGTATGACCCATGTGAGTTTGGTGCTTATTTTTAATTTGATTAATTAAATTGGATCGAATGTGATGTCCTCCTATTTCTACAGCCGCTGAATAACCCCTGTGAGTTTAGACCTCAGATCCATCTAGGAGTGAAATATTTGTATGATACTTCATGAGATCCAAGCAGTATGACTTACTTCCCTTGAGATCTTGGATCATTTTCCCTAAGCCGTGACCCATGGCAAGGCAAGAGTGTACTAACCCAGCAACAAGTTAGTCAGCAGAAAGTGACCAAAGTGGTTGTCATTGTTTGTTCCAGATCATCTGTTGTCATCTTCTTCCTCACTAGAATAACTTCAACATGATGCTCTAGCAAGATACATAAAGTGTCATATATTTACAACCATAATAAAACAAGAGTGTACTAACCCAGCAACATGTTAGTCAGCAGAAAGTGACCAAAGTGGTTGGTTGCCATCGTCACCTCCAGACCATCTGCTGTCAACTTCCTCTTCTTCATACCACTCATACCTGCGTTGTTCACCTGACAAGTATATAAATATAAGAAGTTCGTCATATTTCTTCATTGCACCTTTATTCACGTGTAAAATTTTGTTAACACAATTTATATTAAATAATATTACACATGCTTAAACTCGGATGCAGAACAAATTTTATGATTTTAATTTGTCGAATATATCTTAAATTCTTCCCAAATTTTATTAATTAAAAATTAATATAATTTGTATAATCCTAAACCAATATTCATAATAATTTCAAAACGTTTTTAATGAAGCGTGATTCTATTATATTTCTCTCAACCATGGACTTCCTTGATGCAACTTTCTCAGGCATTTGAAAATCAATTGGATGGTTAAAATCTCTCTTATGAATAAACAGAGCATTACACTCTTATCCAATTCTAATGCTATATTTACGTTGTTGTAATCTTGTACAGAGCCGTCAGCATTTCTGGGGAAATTTTTAATAAATTTTTTTTTTTGCGTTTCAAGTTTTTAAAAACAACTTTGATTTTAAAATTCTTAAGTAGAGAAGGTATATCAAGGAAGTTTTCATGGTAAAGGAGAACCAACATATTCAGGGTTGAATAAGCATTTCTAGCAAATTTAAGAATTTTTAAAAATATTGATGCGAATGCAGAAAGTTTGACTCTATCAGATTGTGAAGAATAATAGTACATATAAGAACACTTCTTTGTTGGTTTTCTGTAAATTTTAAAGTTAATATCTTGATTCCCATTAATAATTAATACATCTAGAAAAGACAATGAGTTATTTTGTTAAAACAGAAGAGTAAAATTTATGGAATGAGCTACACTATTTAATTTAACATGGACATGGTTTATAATATATTCTTAGGCATTTGACATAAAACATCAGTATATCTGTACAACATAACTCTACAGGGAAGGATTTTGTAAGAAGTCTTGATTCAAAATATTCCATATAAAAGTTGCTAAGGACAAGTGAGAGAGGATTTCCCATTGTCATACCAAACTTCTGAGTGTAAAACTCGCCATTAAACGCAAACGTTAACGCGAGCGTTAACCTTTGCGTTTAATGGCGGTGGTTAACGCTCTCGCTTCACACGGCGAGGGCCTGGGTTCGATTCCCAGCCAGAGTAGAAACATTGGACGTGTTTCTTTCCACCTGTTGTCTATGTTCCTCATCAGTAAAATGGGTACCTGGGTGTTAGTCGACTGGTGTGGGTCGCATCCTGGGACACTGACCTAATTTGCCCGAAATGCCTCCGGAGCATAACATTGTAATCAGCTAGGACTATATACCCTGTACATGTACTTGTAGTAAAATAAAGATATTATTATTATTATTAACTTAAGAAGCTCACTGATTGTTGGTGCTGGCAATGGCAAATCATAATTAACAAGTTCCTCTGATAGGAAACGTAATTAAACATCATCTGGAGCTTTTGTAAAGAAAAGATTTAACATCAGAACTACTTATATTGTAATCATTTAAATCAGTCACGGTGCTTAATTTATCTTCTAAGTTTGAAATTTTAGTAGGTTGGTAGACAACAACCACCCAGGGAGGTACTATCGTCTTGGCAAATTCTTGTGACACGGATATCAGTAATTGTTTTACACAAAGGTAGAATTGCTGCAAGAAAACAGGTACAATCTGCTACTATTACTTACACTAAGGCACACTACATATACATGTACTACACAAATATGTATTTACACAGTTCTGAATTTTCTTCTATTTTCTAAATAGTTTTTGTTCTTATCTATTTCCTTTCATCTCCATGGGGAAGTGGAAAAGAATCTTTCCTCTCCAAGCGATGTGTGTCGTAAGAGGCGACTAAAAGGCTGGGAACAATGGGCTAGTGACCTCCTCTCCTGCATAAATTACGAAAAATAAGAAGAAAACTTTATAAAACTGGGATGTTTGAATGTGCGTGGATGTAGTACAGATGATAAGAAAGAGATGATTGCCAATGTTATGAATGAAAAGATGATGGAGGTCCTTCCTCTAAGCAAAACAAGGCTGAAGGGGGTAGGAGAGTTTCAGTGGGGAGAAATAAATGGGATTAGGTCTGGAGTATATGAGACAGAGCAAAGAAAAGGTAGCAATAATGTTAAAAGATCAGCTGTGGAAGGAGAAAAGGGATTATAGATGCATAAATTCAAGGTTTATGTAGATTTAAATAAGGGTCGGATGAGAAAAGTGGATTATAATAAGTGTTTATGCACCTAGAGAAGAGAGGAGTGTGTAAGAGGAAGAGAGATTTTGGGAGATGTGAAGCGAGTGTCTGATAAATTTTGAGCCAATTGAGAGAGTAGTTAATGTGGGAGACGTGAATGTTAAAGTGGGTGAAACAGTTGTAGAGAGTCTGGTAGGTAAGTTTGGGGGAAATATATATTTTAAGAAAACGAGGACAAATAATTATACAAGATATGACAATGGGCGTAATGACAGTAGTTTCTTAGACAATGTTTTGGTAGATAAAAGACTGATGGGTAGACTTCAAGATGTGCATGATTATAGAGGGGCCACAGATATATCAGTCCACTTTTTAGTTGTAGCTACATTGAGAGTGAAAGATAGATGGGAAACAAGAACAGCATCAGGAAGTAAGGGAGAGGTGAAGGTTTATGAACTAATGGAGGAGGCAGTTAGGGTAAGATATAAACAACTATTGGAAGAAAGATAGGCTAATGAGACTATAAACAATGAGGTTGAAGAGATATGGGATATATCTAAGAATGTAGTGTTAGTGTTTATCAGAAATATGTGGTTAGAGTAAAGTTGGTGTGGGAAAAAAGGAGAGCGATTGGTGAAATGACGAGCTAAAGAGAAAATAAATAGCATATGAAAGATTTTTACAAAGTAGAAGTGATGCAAGGAGGGAGGACTATATGGAAAGGAAATGAGAGCTTAAGAGAAGAATGTAAAAGGCTAGCAAATGAGAGAGTGGGCAAAATATTATCAACAAATTTTGTTTAGAATAAGAAAAAGTTTCGAGTGAGATTAATAGGTTAAAAAAAACTTCGGGAACGAATACATTTGACAGTTAAAAATAGAGAGTTATTAGATGGAAAGTTGAAAGTAAGAGTTATTAGATGGAAAGTTGAAAGTAATCAGAAAGATGGAGGGAATATTTTGAGGAACTGTTAACTCTTGAAGATAAGGAAGCTGTGGCTTCGTGCATTGGTCAGGGAGGTATATCTTATGAGAATGAAGATGAGCCAGTTGTGAGTGTGGGAGAGGTCCGTGAGGCAGTGGGTAGAATGAAAGGTATAGCAGCTTGGATTGATGGGATAAAGGTAGAAATGTTAAAAGCAGAGGGCGGTATATTTTTGGAATGGTTGGTGCTTTTATGGAGGAGGGGAAGGTACCTAGGGAATGGAAGAAAACAGGCATATTTCCTTTGTATAAAGGCAAGGGGACATAAGTGAGTGTAAAAATTATAGGGGAATAAGCCTGTTGAATATATGTGGTAAATTGAATGGAAGAGTTATTATTGAAAGAATAAAAAATAACATAAACCATACCACAGGCGGGGATAGAACCCACGTGTGTGTGCGTGTGTGTTATATATATATATATTATATATATATATATATATATATATATATATATATATCTAGCAAGTGGTTATTGAATCATTTGCGAAACTGCGGCAGACAAGGATTCGACCCCCACGACACATTGTCCCACCTCAAGAGGCCACACTATGTACATGTCAACTAACCAACTGAGCCATCGACTGATCCGGTATCCATTGATTCTGTTATCTGTGGGTTTTCCTCGGCCCGAAAATATTAAGGAGGATGTAGTTTGAGGTTTCATTTTTTCATATTTCCGATTTTATTCTTTTTTTTTTTATTGTTTGAACAGGAGTGTATAAAACATGATCATACGAAGTTTCTCTAAGATGTAGCAGAAAGCAGGAAGTTACTGACACTGCCAGGAGTCTATTCAGCAGTAATAGTAGCAGTAGTGGAAGGGGGTAGTAGTGGTAGTGCGAGATGGTGGTGGTGCGTGCTGGTGGAAGGAGGTGATGGTATTGGGTGATGATGGTATTGGGTGGGGGTGGTGGTGGTGTAGATGGGTGGTAATGGTGGTGGGTGGTGATGGCGGTGAGTTGTGGTGGGTGGGGGTGCTGGTAGTGGGTGGTGATGGTAGTGGGTTGTGATGGCAGTGGGTGGTGGTGGATCATAGAAGTATTATTGGAATTGTATAGAAAATTCCCAAGAAAGGCATATTAATAGACACTGAGAAGAATAAGAGACAATATTTAGAAAAATATAAAGGGATACTTCTGAGTATCCCTTAGAACATTCGAGTACCCCAAACCAGGACATTTAAAAGGACAAAGAGCACATTCATTTCCGTTCTATTATTAATTAAAAAGGTTACACAGAATAATAGCAATCCAAATATATAATTCTAAGTGGCCAGAAGAAGCTTGGGGCTGGCTATAATATTTTCTAATTTCATAATACTTGACATCTCAAAACCCTCCTACCCCATATTGGGGGGAGGGGGATGGTGGTTGTGCAGGGCAGCACCGACTGATGCCCCACATTCTGAGAATGGCTGGGGCACGTGACAGACTTGCACTGTGATACTCTGAGAAAATTTCCCTTTGCTCCTTCAGTAGCTGCCTTGAAACATTGCATAGCACCTGCTGATACACTGAGAAGTGTGAAAGTACTTCAGCTAAAGATTTCCGCTGGTTTGTCTTGCATATATATAGTACATGATTATATACACCTGGAAAATCCTAGAGGGACTAGTACCGAACTTGCACACGAAAATCACTCACTACGAAAGCAAAAGACTTGGCAGACGATGCACCATCCCCCCAATGAAAAGCAGGGGTGTCACTAGCACGTTAAGAGACCATACAATAAGTGTCAGGGGACCGAGACTGTTCAACTGCCTCCCAGCACACATAAGGGGGATTACCAACAGACCCCTGGCAGTCTTCAAGCTGGCACTGGACAAGCACCTAAAGGCAGTTCCTGATCAGCCGGGCTGTGGCTCGTACGTT